AATGTTTGTAAATCCCAGGCCCTGAAGATGATCTCAATAAAGATCGAAACGTTGGCACGATAAAGAAAATGTTTTTCTGAAACCAACATCACACCAGACCGCATCTCACGATTTCTGAATAATTATCGATTAACGGTCACTAATCACCACACATTTCTACACGAGAAGAACATAAAAAGTAATGATGAGAAAATAACAAAACGCTATTTTCCGACTATAACGTAACGAACTTCGACTAGATATAAAGCATACCTTCATATCCACAATGGCCATGACAAACCATGGTAAATTCAAGATTTAATATAGTAAGTCACATTAGAACAGATTGTTGCACATTCGATATAGAAAGATACGATGTTTGGTTCAATATAGTGAAACGGCCAACAGAGCAATAAAACCTGATTTCGGTATATCAAAAGCAGGGCTTGAAATTTGTACAAACGTTGAAAAACTATAAATAAATAATTCAGTATGGACAAATGTATTTTTGTCAAATTAACGTGATAAGGAATGATAATCTACATTTACTGTATAATATATATCGTAGGCATATAGTTGTTATTTGCACAAATTGTTATTTCTTCACATTATTAATAATGTGATATTCGTTTAATTTATGTACCCATTTTGATAAGTAAATGTATAACAATTCTGTATTCTATTACAGTACGAACTTATGTAATTCTAGTGCATGTAGTCTGATAAAAGGAGCAGGCAGAAATAAAGTTATTTTAAAAAAATTAAATTAATAAAACTGATAGAAACTTTTAATGTACATTAAGGGACTATTTTAATATTCCTATTTCTTAAGTAGTTGGCCTATTCATTTTCTTTTATTACTCAGCAGACGGTCTGGTGATCTTGAGGATCGTTTTAACTATGATTAACAATAAAAATGAGAATAAAAATAATTATAATTCTTTATTCTAATAATAACAGTACATTATATTGATTAGCTGCGTCTCGTATTTTAATGTACATAAACAACATAAGCAATATAAATACCAATACGATTTTACTAATCAATAAATTTTATAATTTAAATGTGTGTTATAGATTTAAATAAGCAATCGTCCCCGGTGTTGATCCCTGGGTAGAGTAAGTACACGTTTCTCTGCCTGTTGTAAGAGGTTAAAAGAGATTTTTCTTCACTTTTGCCTTGTGAGGGAAAGTGACCTTCCCCCTCTCGTTGATTACCTCTTTTATCATTCCTCTCTCTACGTTTCCTATTATCCTTCCTTTTCATCTCTCCTTTCTCTTATTTGTTGATTTTAAGTAAGTTTAATGTCTTTAAAAGAATATTTAAAAAATGATTCTATAGTAAACATATTCAATAATTTTTTTTAATTAATCTTTTTATGTAAGGTTTTGGTTGAAATGAAAAAGTGAGTGTCACGAGCGGGATTCGAACCCACGACCTTCGGCTAATACGCCGCTGCTCTGACCACTGGAGCTATCGTGACATTGATCCACACACCAACTACCCATCTCAACCTACAACCTTTCGAATTTCCCTCCTTTTCCCATTTTTCATATGTCGTGTAACCAGAATTCGATTCTTGGCGGCATATGAAGTTATGTTCGATCTCCGCCACTTCATATGTCTCCGAGACGAATCTTGATTCACGAAATTTGAAAAATGGCAAAAAGGAGGGAAAATTCGAAAAGGGTCGAGATGGGGAGTTGGTGTCCGAATAGATCGAAATCACGATAGTCAAGTGGTTAGAGCAGCGGCGTATTTAGTCGAAGGTTGAACACTGACTTTTTCAGTTCAACCAAAACCTTATATAAAACTTAATTCACTAATTTCGTGGTCCGCTTGACCAATTAATATAACACAATTAATTAAGGTTTTTAGTTGAGATAAAACGTTTATTTAATTGAAAGAAGTTATTTAGTCAATCGGACTACGGAAAATAACGGATATTCAATAATATTATGATTACCTTATAAAAATAAGTTTATTTCCTAAGAATAGGAAGTGCTGTGGCCTAATGAACATGGTATATTCTTGTGAAAACTAATAGCCACTGAAGATTTCAAAAAATGCTCAATGTTTTGATAATTAAATGGTTTTTTTTTAATACATAAATTTGGATGAAAACTGCTGAACGATTCCAGAAATCGAACATTCAGGTCGTCAATAACCGCTGCTGAGGGAGCGAGTGACCAACTGATAAAAAAAACTCGATCTCCTCCTTCCTCGTCGGAGAAGACACCAGATCCGCTTCCCCACCCGAACTTTGACAGAAGGAGGAGCACCAGATTATGCAAAGGTGATGACTTAGGATTTTAAGAACGAAACAAACAACAAAGAAAGAGAGGGCGATTGCTCGGCTCTCAGAGAGGGGATATCAATAGAGGCATTACTGGAATGTATATATAGACATGCATGGACTCATGTCCGTGTATTCGTACAGTCCTTGCTTTGTCTAACACAGAAAGCCGTGTATACATACGCCTACATCATGAAACAATTAGTAAGTGGTTTTTGAGACATATATTCAACCCCTATTTGCAAAAGATATAAGCATTCCGATGAATGGGGTGTAATTTTATAAATATCTCTTTTAGTTGTTTTCGTCAAAAAACCGCCAATCATGCTATTATTATTATTTTGTGTAATGGGATCACTTGTATAACGAATCAACCATTCTTTTAATTTATATTCTTTTAAAAAATCTAGGTACTTAAACATAATTAACAGTTCGAAAAATGCCACATAGTTTGTAGATGCTCTGACAAAAATCACTTAACAATGTGCTTATTTTGTAACCCAATTATAATAATTTTCTCTTAAAATATTCACTGAAGGATAAGTCAAGTCATTTTTATTATTTATGTTGGTAGCAGCCAGTTGACCTCAATGGTCTCGAGATTTTATCTTTACACCATCATGTAGAAATATTTATAAACAGATTTAAAGCTAAAATTATGAAAGTATATTAATGTAAACTTGCTATAGTTATTAGAGATTAATTGTTTAAGTTTAGATTTTAATAAAAATTTTTGTAATAATGCTCGCCCACAGAGGTTTTGAACATATTGACGATATGACATTAAAAAATTTAAATGTTATAAAAAGTATATATTTTAAATGGTTTAAGTTTAAATTAAAGTAATTTTTAAAAGTGTATATAAGTTAGTTCTTAAATCTTAAAAGAAATAAAGTAAAAATCGGAATCCAGGTACACGGTCCGTTTCCTACAAAAGGAACAGTAAATTTTTTTAGGCAGAATTTTGTCATGCAAGATGAATTAAGTATTAAAGACAAGCAAAAGTGAAATTTTTAGTTTTAATCCTTAGTAAAAAACTGTTGTGAGGTTTCACTTAATTGACAAAAGCGAAAAATATTTAAATATTATCAGAAGTTTGTGCAGCGGCTGAATGGGGATCGGATATTAATGTTGCGTTAATGTTTTGTATAAGAAGCAGAATTGCTTTTGGCTCAATTTTTTATGGCGAATTTAAAAAAAAATATTTCGAAATAAATGCCCGAGGCGTTGTTTGTGGTACCTTTCAGACACCTTCGATAAATGTCCTGCCAACCACCTCGAGGATTACGATTGGAGATGATCGCTAAGAATTTAGTGTCAAAATCTGCCGGAGTCGACACTACTGCTGTGACAAAAAGGAAGACAAATGCTCAAATATTTTCTCTTTTCTGTTTTACAACCCCAGTTTTTATGGCACATGATAGTTTAAAACATAAAGGTCTGAAAGAAAAAACATATTGTGGTTAATGTTCATACTCTAGCGCCTTTTGCGTAACAACTTGGGTATACAACAAATTATGTAGCGACCGTTTTTAGGACGAAAAGCTGGTTTATTTTTCCTAGTTTTCTGCTCAACGTCAATTAATTTATCGCGTTTTAATTTACAGGGAATGATAATGATGGAATAAAGATTCCCTTTTCAGCAAAGTCTGCACTTTCTGGTTAAGCATCGAACTCTAATATTTTATTGAATTTAACCAATTTTCAAATTCATTTAGTTGTGAAATGTGTGCAAGAGGTTTTTGTTCGTTCAACATTCATTTTAATACTTTACAATTAATTAAGGTTTTCAGTTGAGATGAAAAAAAGTTAATGGCACGAGAGGGATTCGAACCCATCACCTTCGGCTAGATACGCCGCTGCTCGACCACCTGAGCTATCGTGACCTCGATCCACTCGGATATCAACTTCCTATCTCAACCCCACCTTATGAGTTTTCCCTCCTTTTGCCATTTTTCATTTTTGATGTCCGAGTGGATCGAGGTCACGATAGCTCAGGTGGTCGAGCAGCGGCGTATCTAGCCGAAGGTCGTGGGTTCGAATCCCTCTCGTGCCATTAACTTTTTTTCATCTCAACTGAAAACCTTAATTAATTATAAAGTATTAATTGGTCAAGCGGACCACGAAATTAGTGAATTTAATTCATTTTAGTACACTACAAAATCTAAGATATAAGTCGTTAAAATTAGCAACAATTAAAATGTTGAGAAACTGTTTTTTTTTTTGCGGCTATTTTCGTCTCAGCCGCAATAACGATTTGAGAAATTGCCTTGCCGTTTCTCATGGTCAACCGTCGTGATCATTATTGCTTTTTTATTAAGATATCGTGAGAAGCGGTCGGGTGTGATGTAGGTTTCAGAAAAACATTTTCTTTATCGTGCCAACGTTTCGATCTTTTATTGAGATCATCTTCAGGGCCTGGGATTTACAAACATAGTTTACATTTAACAAATACGTTTAGGATGTGGAAAAGTGAATTTATACAATGCAAAATATATTTTATATTCAATCAAAGTATTTCTACTCACTCAAAGTGTTTGTCTTCTGTGTAATTGTGCCATTCTTTCGTGTCGTGTCGAGAGTGCCAGTGAGATTTTGCTGTTTTATCTTTATATATGTTTGGTTTTGAAAGGATGGGGAAGGAAGTCGGTATATAAAAGACAATTTTGTGTAAGTCGTCGGCTTCTTTGAAGTGAAAAGAGCCGACAAAGGAAAAAAATGTGTTGGTAATGGTTCGGCCAGATTATCATTTCAGGATTATATAGAAAGGGGATAAATAGGAAAAGGAAAGCTAAATTGTTGGAAAATTAGACTATGTGAAAAGTATTTGATGTGTGGAATGTAATGTAATGATATAGGTATGTTATCTGTATTGTATTTGATTAATGATATTGGCGTAGCTGCGACTGAGCTTACATGTACCTGTTCTGTAATTGATGCTGTGTTTATCTCGGTTGATATGAACCATTTCTAAGAAATTACATTTATATTTGTTTTGTTTATGTAATATATTTGGATTTTTGAAATTGTGTTGGTGTTCAAAATGGTGGGTAGCGAGTGCTGTAGGACTTTGCTTGGGTTTTTTGCAATCATAGATATGTTGCTTTACTCTCTTGTCCAGATATTGGGATGTAAGACCGATGTAAGTTGCCGGACAGTTTAAACAGTTGATCTTGTAGATTACGTCAGATTTATTTGTTATTGATGTGGGATCATTAATTTTAGAAAAAAGTGTTTGGATTGTTTTATAATTTTTGAAAGCTATTTTGAAGTTATCAGACGAGAGAAATGTGTTTAATTTATGTGATAGGCCGTGAATGAATGGCATGGAAATGTGTGATTGTTTGTTTGTATTTCATATACTTAATGTAGTATTATTTGTAATAGTGGAATGTGTTAGTGTTGAGTTGTAGGTGTTGATTATTCTGTTAATTATGTGCTTAGGGTAGAGATTGTTATGGAGGATCTGTTTGTATATCTTTATGTTCTTGTGGTGAAATGATTCATGGCTTAGGGTAATCATTCTGTGAAGTAACCCTTTGGCCGTGTTTACTATTGTATGAAGAGGATGGTGAGATTTAAAGTTGAGGTAGCGATATGTGATTCTTGGTTTTTGGTACCAATCTGTGATAAATGTGTCATTTGGTTGTTTTATTACAAGTGTATCTAAAAATGGGAATGTTTTGTTGTTTTCGATTTCATGTGTAAATTGTAGACGTGGGTGAAAGCTATTAAATGTATCTAAGTAGTTTGAATTTGATCTGTAGGAACAGCTGTCAATATATGTCAAGAAGCCGACGCCTTATCCAAATATGTCTTTTCTATACCGACTTCCTTCCCCACCCCTTCAAAACCAAACATATATAAACATAAAACAGCAAAATCTCACTGGCACTCTCGACAGGACACGAAAGACAAACACTTTGAGTGAGTAGAAATAATTTGTTTGAATATAAAATATATTTTGCATTGTATAAATTCACTTTTCCACATCCTAAATGTATTTGTTAAATGTAAACATTGTTTGTAAATCCCAGGCCCTGAAGATGATCTCAATAAAGATCGAAACGTTGGCACGATAAAGAAAATGTTTTTCTGAAACCTACATCACACCCGACCGCATCTCACGATATCTGAATAACTATCGATTAATGTTCACTAATCTCTACACATTATTGCTTTAAAATATTTCATTTCATCCCCTCAAAATCGTTAATTTTTGCAAGAACCTAAATTTGTGAAAAAATTTTACGAATTGTTTTATAAAAAAAATGTTTTTATTCCGCTTTGAGTATTTTTTAAATACAATTTTTTTAAATACAAAGTAGGGAGTTGATAGATTATGTTTTAACTTGAAAGGTACTTTTTGACACACGATAAAATAAACAACGATAGTCTTCAAACAGCGTTCAAGTTCATCAAGACATGATACAGTAGAACATTCGATTCGCATTTTTCTAAAATTATTTGAGGTACTTCTTAAGCTGGGAATGTCATGGAATCAGTTTCGTTCTTTGTTCAAAGGGTTGTGGATTAATATAAAACAATATTTTAACAAAATGCGTTTTGTGATCCTTAAACCAATCATGACATATATATATATTGGAGGGAAAACAAGTTTTAAACTGTTTCCTTTTTTATCTTCATACATTTAGAAATTTAGAAACTATCATTTAGCTAAAATTTACCGTCATTTTAATAAAAAAATAATCATAAAGTTTCAATTTGAGTACTTTTTCAACTCCATATTTCTTCATAGTTTTGAATAAACTATAGGTCACCCGGATGTTTTCCCTTTCGCATTTCCGGCTGAACGGTATATATTTAAATTTGCAATGCGATCCGGAGCATGTACGAATGCCGTTGCGAGAATTTCCCCCAGCAAACAGCCCCTATTAACAGGAACGATTTGAATAAATGAAAATTTCCAAGGCATTTAGCCAAACGGTTAAATGTTACAGTTATAGCGATCAATTTAAATTTTGAGTAACTTGGTACATCCAAACCTGAAAAATTTGAAATATGAATGTACGTTAATGTTAAGGAAACGTTTTTCCTTTAAACGAATTTGTTCGACCAGGAGTACAGGAAATAAGGAACTGATTCATTAAATTTTCTTACATAGGAACGATCTGTGTTTTTTCCAGATTTTCCCCAAACTTTCATCATGATTATTGAAAATAGGCGCTGCCAAGTTGATTGTATAGCCAACAACATACTATATATTAATGTATGGTAGTATAAACTATGAAAATCAAGAAGATTAACATGATGGGATTAATCAAGGGTCGTGTATCTATCAACTTTTGAGATCATAGCTATCAAAATTTCTATACTGAGTTTATATATGGTCTGCTTTTTCAAGATTAATCATGTTTAGTTCCGCCTGTCCGATAGAACTCACAAGGTGAAAATGAGAATGAGAAAGTTTTTTAACAACAAAGAAACCAGAAATCCGGACTCAAAGACAAAAGATAACAATTTTTAAAAAGTCAAAATTTGAGAAAATTTATTTTTACATGACTGAATTAAACATTTATATGAAGTTGATTGTATACATTATGAATGTGACTTTGTATAAGGTGGTATACAAACTTTTAATGACAGATTTTTTTTCGCAGTTAGTGTTTTGTGCGCCTAAATAATCAACTGTTGAGAAAATTTATTTTTACATGATTGAATTAAACATGTATATGAAGTTGATTGTATACATTATGAATGTGACTTTGTATAAGGTGGTATACAAACTTTTAATGGAAGACCTTTTTTTTCTCGCAGTTAGTGTTTTGTGCGTTTGTCGCTGCCGGGTCTTCGCGACCCGATTGCAGAGGACCTTATTATCAGGAGTATGCTCGGTTTAACCGAGACGGTAGCGTCGCCGACACTCCTGAAGTAGCCAGGGCAAAGGTTGCCCATTATGCTATACTTGCCAAAGCTGGAGGTGCCGTTCCTCACTACCCCGGACAATGGTATTTTTCCAGTTTAGATAAAGTAGAAAAACCCAGAGATAACGTGAATTTTATCTAGGATCTCTACTCCCGGATCGTCGCCCTACAGCCGATCGGGTTACTATTGGTACGACAAAGAACGTCTGAACCCCGACGGAACCGTCGCTGAAACACTGGAAGTAGAACACGCAAAAAAAGGCCATTTTGCCGCACATGCTAAAGCCAGGTAAACACCACAATTTAATATTTAAATAAAATAAAAGAATAATAAGAATATAAACTAAGAACACTTTTATAAATAAAAACACAAATTAGCAAACAGATATTTTTCATCAATAGTCAAGTTCAACGTTATTTTCAGAACAAGCAAAAATATACCATTCATAATTTTTGTTTGAACAATCAATTTTTACATATATCCAGCAATGTATGTTTTTACAGTTTACTTTCTTAAAGAATTGTCAAAAGTCTTTTATTTTATGAAGTTCGCCACAAGGTTTTTTAAAATATAATCTCAGTTCTCTGTAGACAAACAGGTTTATTTAAGATTGACACTAAAAGCTATTTTAATATTTAGAATTGGCTACTATCAAATAGCACTTTTTTAGTCAAAATGAAATGCTTAGAACATTTTGTGTAACATTGAAATGTACCCACTATAACAAGAGTCATTTCAGTAAGACACTCATAATTTTCCTTTTGGCTAAACTACCAGTTTTTCACTGCCTTGTAAGTTAGAACAAACAATTTTTTAAGTTACTATTTAATCAGAAGTTGAAAGACTAAAATTAAATGTTTGCTTTATGTTGAAGTGAATAATAAACTTTTTAATTTCCTGAATTGTTTGTAATAAATATTTTGACATAGATTTATTAGATTATTTTTACAAGAGGTTTTTGTTTAATTTATTTAATGGGATTTCTCTTAACAAAATGATGACTTTTTTTAAGGGCTTATCTCGGTCTCCCACCTGTGGAAGTTGCTAACAACCAGGTAGGCGCAGGTGCCACAGCATCTCGCTTCGCGGCTCACATAGGCGCCCTCAGAAGGTCGAAACGATATGCCCCGGCACCCTTGAACCCGGACGGCACTGTCGCTGACACCCCCGAAGTCGCCACGGCCAAAGCACAGCACTTCGCCACAGTCGCCAAAGCCAGAGCGTACAATTTGATCCCCGTCTCTTACTACACTGGTGGAAAATGGTTGGGACCTCCTGCACCCCTCAACCCCGACGGTAAACAAAAATCATTTCAGTATTTTTATCTAGGGTAATTTTCAAATCGTGTCGTAGGTACGGTAGCCGACACTCCTGAGGTCCAAGCGGTCAAAGCAGCACATTTTGCAGCCCACGCCGGTGCTAGACACGGAACTCTTGTTTTCCAACCTTCTACGGCCTACTACGGTTAGGCACCCCTCAACGCAGATGGAACCGTCGCAGAAACGCCTGCAGTTGTTGCAAGGAAGGTTCAACATTTTGTTCCTTACAACCAAGCTCTCGCTAGGCTTGGTTAACAGCCCAACACCTAAACGTTTTACCTACTCTATTTTTATACAATAAAAACTAATTTTTTACCTATGATCTTTCTCAGTTTGTCCTTTTTACCTTGTGAAAACCAATAAATGTTATAAAAATTAGATTTCGATAAAAGGTAACGCCAATTGGTAAAACACTTCAGATGCTTACATCTGCCTTCGATTTCTATTGTATTCACAATTTCGTACATACAAATCACTTGTAAATTTAGATCACATTTCCTGGTTGCAACGGTATGTATCCAAAAATATTTTCTATTGCAAACAAGTGGTAGTAAATTTGACAAACAGGGGCACTGAAAAAAAACCTATCAATTACCTTAGAAACACTATTAAACCCACCCACATTGGAAACATTGATACGAGGAGAAACTAGAAAAAGCTCATTGCTCCGATAAACAATCAAATTGGATGGAGACTAAGAAGTTCCGATGGCGGAAACATCCTTTGCAACATTCTGTAAGAGATCAACGATGATATGATATGCAGCTGGCTTAAAACCATGTCAGGCATATTCTGTAAAAGCCCAAAACATTAGCAATCATTAGAGATATACGTCTCGGTCTTTCAAAGTGAAATGCATACTGCTCATATCAGAACGCCAAGCTGCCATAATGCCAGGTAAACAGTTCACATTTCAAATAGGTAGGGGATGCATACACCTGACACTATGCCAGAATACGAGTTCAGAATAATTTAAAAGCTGACAAACTGGCCATGGAGAATGTACAAGACCTATCGGCTCAGATAATATACTTGGGTTAAAAGATCAAACACAACTTCTCCCATGTCAATTGCGCAAAAAACGAAAGGAGAATTGGTTGAACTCCAGAGGTGCCAGATACAGTTATGATTAAAAAAGCCTCAAAACTGGTAAACACATTGCTACAGTTAGCCAGGGAATGAGAGAAAGCACCAGGTATGAGAATAGGGTAACCCTCATATGGATACCTGCTCATAAGGGGCACTATGGCAATGAGGAGGCGGACAGCCTGGCCAAGGAAGGATCAAATACTGAGTTCGTCGGACCACAACCGGTATTACCCCACTCTTTAAGCACAGCAAAAGAGAGTATAGGTAGCTGGGGCATGAAACAATTCCTTAAGGAATGGAATATGTCCCCAGGATGCAGGCAATCGAAGGAGTTTCTGAAGGAAATCAAACCTAAAGAATCGAAATGGCTATTCTCTAACTCTAGGAGGGGAATAAGGAGGCTGATAGGTATCCTAACGGGCCATTGCCCCTTGAGAAGACACCTCTTCATAATGGGTACTCTACCAGACCCCTTCTGCCGCTTCTGCGAAACAAAAGAAGAAACGGCCCGACACTACCTCGCAGAATGCGATAGGTATGCTAGGGAAAGATTTAATACTTTCGAAGGAGAGGACATAACCAAAACACTCCCCAGGATAAAATGGTCCACAATCCTGGGGTTTGTGAATAGGTCCAATAGGTTTATACAGGACTCGTGAGCCGACCAGGTCCCGGACCTTCTAGGGATGGGGTACGGGCCTACTCAGGCTTTTAACCCCTCGGGTCCTGGTCGCCCGCCCTGTGTAATATATATATAGCCAGGGAATAGCCCGAAGGAGTTATAGGATATATATACCGGTCACTAGGTCTGAGAAAACCACTACATAACATTTTCAATGATGACCTCATTTGTAGGTTATGCAATCAGGAGAAAGAAACTAAGAAACTACCAACCGATTATTTTCGAATGCAAAGTAACTGCTCAATAGACCAGAGATATAGCAAAGGTACAGGGAATAAGTCAATTATCAGCTACTTGTTAAGAGAAGGATCGTATCACAGAAAATGTGTCAGTAATATGACACGTTCCCAAATACTCGATCGTCCTTAAAAGGACAATGAAAATCTTTAGCGTCGGTACCTAATTCTCTAGACGAGAGATGATGCACCTCCGCTCATAACTGAATGGGTGTTACAGCCGCAAGCGTAGAAGCTGTCCCAGCCCCGAGAAGCCAAGACGAACCTCACTGCCCGCTTGCCCATTCCGAGTGATCGGGTCTGCATTAAGCAACAGACCGTATGCCGCTCGTAAAAAGGCTACCCAACGCATCAGCCTGGTCTCCCACGCATTCCCTAGATAGAGAAGGCCATTCTATCTCCCAGAGTATTGGGGCTCCTCCAGTGGAAGAACTTCCGGATCCTCTCAGGCCGCGGTTTTGTTTAAAGTGGAATTTCTAACCACCCCCTAGAGGAGACTGCCTTCGGTAAAGGAAGCCCATGGAGGCATCACCGATTACTATCTGTTACCATCCACCATCACGCATTCGACGACCACTTCTGAGCGTCCTCAACGCTATACGCTTCGATGGTCCGATCTTCGTACCCCAGAGGCCGGGGTTGTAACAAAGGTCATACACAAGTGTTTAGGCGGAGGTCACAGATAGAAGAACAGCCTCTTCTCTAACTTCCCGCCAGGAGCATTGCACTAAGCTACTACGAGTCCGTTCCCATATAGCAGCTCGGCTAGTAGATCCCTCGGTCGTCGGTTCGATCCCCACCGCCGCCTTAGGACTGGACTTTTTTTCTGATGCCTAAAGGGACCTGTGGCCGTAATTGAAATAAATTGACACGGCACTCATCAATCGGTCTGGGGGGGGGATCGGATCTCAGCGACTCTGAATTTGGTCCCAACCCCTTCAAAAATGAATTTCTTCCGTGGAAGAACACCGGCTCACCAGAGGATTCATGCGTGTTGTGACCTCAAAAATCGACCTGGGATAAAGTACAATAAGCTGTACAGCTGCAGTGCTCAGGGGGACCTCCTCCAGTTCCTGGTATCCATTGTAGAAAAAAAAGATATGACACTTTATTATCCAAAGGCAATGGACTCTTTTGCTGAGATCTGGCGTTAAAACCGTACTGGACCCGATTATCTTTGGATTCAGTACTTTAATTAGTGGCTAATTATCTGATATGATATCTACATTTTGTATAATCTCTGGCATAATAGCATCCGATTTAACTCTGGAAAAAGAATTGTATTAATAATAATCAATGACCTTCCACTCCTTAAAATAAGGATCGAGACAATTGAACAGAACTAAGGAACTAGGAAAAATACCATATCCCAGAAGAGATTGCATGGAGATTACCAAACCTCCGCATCGTAGTATCCTCCTCTTCCTTATCATCATCATAATGACACAAGGACTGTAATATATTTCACAGACAGACCAATAAAGATTTCACTTTACGATATATATGAGAATTTGACATTGCAATTGCACATTTAAACATAAATGTAATCAAAGTGTAAAACAAATTGTGTGAACCGACGTTGTAAACAATTTAACATTATATATATTTCAATTAATTAAGGTTTTTAGTTGAGAAGAAAAAAAGTCAATGGCACGAGAGGGATTCGAACCCACGACCTTCGGCTAGATACGCCGCTGATCTACCACCTGAGCTATCGTGACCTCGATCCACTCGGACATCAACTCCCCATCTCAACCCCACCTTATGAGTTTTCCCTCCTTTTGCCAATTTTTTCATCTCAACTAAAAACCTTAATTAATTGTCTTATATTAATTGGTCAAGCGGACCACGAAATTAGTGAATTAATGATTTAAAAATGAAGTACACTTCACTAAAGCTCTCCGTCGCCATTTCAAATGTCGTCGAGAATCCAAACCGATTACACGACATTTGAAAAATGGCAAAAGGAGGGAAAACTCGTAATGACATTGTTTCTTCTCTAGTTTTAGAGTCAAACTTTATTAAGCGATAGGAGAAAAGCAAAGCTTATTAGAAAAAACATTTATTAGGTTTTGCTGATGTACAATTAAAAGAATTTTGTCAGATATTTATTTAATAAGACCAAAAAAATTCCACCCACATCCACAAACTGAACGATTTGATTTAATGGGCTTGTTATTCTACAATGAGTGAACCAGTTTTATTTATCCGACGAAACCCACTGTGTTCATAGATGCAGAAGGACACGAAGGCGTGAGGATAGAATAATCGCACTAATATATTTTTGTTTCTCTCTTATCGGTTCAAACGCGTACGCTGTAACAATAAAACTGAAGGACGTAGAAAAGGTTATTTATAATTTATTTGTAATTTTTTTACCCTGCTAAATGGACTTACGGTATCGTAAAAAATCGAAGTTAATGGAACAACTCTATATCTATTCCTGGGTTATCTTTCCGGGATGGTTGGCCGTAACCCGTGACGGTTTTAAATCATGTATTAACTTGATTTAGAGGCAAGGCTGTCTCTACATATTTGCCCTGAGAGTTACCGTGCATGAGCTTCGTCCTGACAGCAATCAATAATTTATGTGTTGGTACTTGCCCGGTTTAATTATGTCTGATCTATGCCATCTGCGGAAAATGAACCAGTCCAACAATATTAGATCTTCAGTGGACTCTTCAAAATCACTATTATGTTATATTTACATAAAAAAATATAAAGAAGTTTTTTAATCATATTTTTGTATCTAAGTTACTAATGTTATTTTATAATGGAATTTTGTTGACAACAAAATCAACATGACGATGTACGCACTAGTTTTACCAGTTGGAAAAATTTTTTACCAAAATTATATTTGATGTCATCAAGCATTAACACCAAAGTCGCACTATAGTGGGCCAAATATAATTATAATTATTATGACGAGTTGAATTACACGTCGAGTATATTATTATACCCAAATAGGTATCACGCACATTTATTTCCTGGTCCTTACTAAGAGTGAAGACCTTATGTATTTTGATTGTCTTGAAAAATGCAGAGACCAGATTGAAAACAAGGCCGTTTGCCCATCAATGCCAAAGCCGAGTGATTCTCTTTTTAATTTTAACCACCTGCTGGTAGGTATTTATATTTAAACTATAATTTATATAGTACTGTATAAAATAAATAATATAGCATATATATAATTAATATAAATATACTGTGTGTCCAGGATTTTAATTTCTATCTTTATTTTTTTACACTGGGGCTTAAAAGACTTAATAAATATACCCAAAAAATATTTGCTTATAAAATCCATTAGCTTTCGTGGTCCGATTGACCAAATAACTTTCAATTAACTAATCTTTATGTAAGGTGTTGGTTGAAATAAAAAAGTCAGCGTCACGAGTGGGATTCGAACCCACGACCTTCGGCTAAATACGCCTCTGCTTTAACCACTTGAGCTATCGTGACTTCGATCCACTCGGACACCAACTCACCATCTCAACGCATCTTTTGAATTTTCCCTCTTTTTTGCCATTTTTCAAATGTCGTCTGTTCGATTATCGGCGACAAATGAAATAGTCACGAAGAGCTTTAGTGAAGATATACTTTATTTTGTTTATTCAATCTATTAGAGTTCGCGGTCCGATTGACCAAAGTTGAGATGGGAAGTTGGTGTCCGAGTGGATCGAAGTCACGATAGCTCAAGTGGTAGAGCAGCGGCGTATTTAGCCGAAGGTCGTGGGTTCGAATACCGCTCGTACGCTGACTTTTTTTATCTCAATCAATACCTTACTTAATATATGCTTATAGTTAAAATATACTGACATAAATTTTATATTTGAAAACATACCATTAAAAAAATTAAAACATTTCTTTATTATTTTTCTCGAATATACATTTCTGTGTGACCCTTAATCTCCAGTAATCGACATTCTATAAATTCATGAATCTTAATAGAAACATGAGGTTGTATTTCAGGTAATGGGTACGATAAATTATGGCAATATAGATAATTAAAAAAGCGTTGATTTACGCGTATGCCTGTTGGTTTTATAAGGACGTTGGAGATAAATTATTGTTAATTCTGCATTTGAGATCAACTGAAAAAAAAGTTTCAGCAAAATAAATCAATTTTTGTATAGAAATGAGATAATTACCTTGGCGATATATTTCGATTTCATTGCTCATATGTTATCACATGCCAACAAGAAAATAGATTTTTTTTTTGGAACGTAAAAATTTACTTTTTTTGTCACTATGCCTGAACGTTGGTGATGAAAAAATGTTTCCCTGAATTAAAACATTTTATGTCGTTTAACTAGTCAAACTATAATATAATAAACTCAACATTAATATCCCTGGGTGTTGTAATGTTGCTTTGTTGATATATCGTATAATTAGTCAGTATATTAGTGCTACAATTACCAGTTGAACAAACCTGCGAGTGAAGACGGACCCAATAAGTGACATAGTGCCATTTCCGAAATGTTCACCGGATTAACAAAAATGACAACGCTTAGTGTTCAAAAGTTACTTCGTTAATATATTGATCGTATATTAGTGTTTTTATTGGTCTGGAAAATTTATAAAAATGGATTATAATATTGATTTATTTTGTTTTACAACTTACACTTTTGAATTGATAGCATTTATAAAATTAAAAAATATAATTTCGTCTAGAAGTAAATTTGTAAAGCGTCTGCAAATATATGAATTTAAAAAGTATTTAATGAATTTAAAAAGTAAGTAAAACGAAAAAAATATTTTATTTATTTAATTTCTGCTTGTTGGACTCCAATGGTTGGTTTAAGAAGAAAATGTTTTCCGGGTTGAATACACTTTTTGCTTTGAGTTCAACCACTTCAACTTTGATGTACTAAATAATAAACTTGGCTGGATGTTAACGTATTGCTTGTAAAAAACATCAACGACGTATCTATGTAGCTAGAAAATAAATTATGATTGATTTTATGTGTCCGATATTTTCGACTGAATGGCAAGATAAAGAAAAATGGCAAGATTAGATTTATCACTAAAACAAAGATGGAGGATACGAACTTAGGATCACCGATATCAATGAAACAATTTTTTTGGTGATACAAGTTGGAAAAATATTAGGCATGTAACCGAGTGTTTTTTCAAAGGGTTCAAGCAACCGAGAAAAAAAAATCATTCTTCATATACTTGAAGGTTATAATATATTTATCATAGCAAAATTCCACGTTAATTTTTTCTTCTTCGAACATGTATCACCATCATTGGGCTTTTTACGTCATCAATGCGAAAAATAAGGATTACTTTATGGCTTATGGGTTAGCCATTAGCACTAAATATAAAATTAACAAAAACTTCAAAAATATTTTATTTTATCCCTTCGGTTCTGATTTATTTAGGCTATGTTTATGCTTATTACCTGCAGGTTCTTGGGTTCTAAACTACTGTAAAGGATACATTACAAAATCTTGTGTGCTTTTGGAAAAATGAGCTAACTCATTGGGAATGAACGAAAACGTGCTTTGCCAAAAAATCAACACTATTTTATGTTAAAGTTATTTATAATTAATATTGGTTAAACAAGAAACAAAGTTGATATTCGTTTTCTCCACCCCACAAACCCTAAATACATATTTTTAAGTCGAACTCTTTCCTTCTGTTTCCGATTTTTGTCGAAATTCAGAAAAACGAACTTTGATACGATTCAACTGATTTATAGAAAATAGTACAACTGTTAAGAACAGTATTCCCTACATTTAATGACATAACTGTGCCCTCCGTAAATAAATTACAATGGTACATATAAAATAAAATATTTGGGGAGTTTTTGTTGATTTCATCCTTAATTTTTATCAGAAAGGTTGTTGATATAGTCTCAATGAAGAAATATGCAGCGTTTCAAGAGTTCAAGCGTTTATAAGTTCATAAATTATGAGTAATTATGTAACGTGAACCTACGCAAATAAATAAGAAATGAAAATTAAAAATAAAACATTTCAGAAGTTTCTGTTGATTTAATCTGTATTTTTCTTAACTTATAATGGCATAAAAATCAATGGTTGTTGATATACGCTGTGTAAACAGATACATTCGTAGATAATTACATTTAAAAGTAACTAAAAAAACTGTTTCAGATATAAAATTTGGCGCAGAGGCCAAAGAATAATTTCGAAAAGCAGCCAAGTGATAAAAAAGCTTAAATTCGGTAATTGACGATTAATATTTCCTGGTCTATATAAAGAATTGTGATCTTAGAATTTATAACGGATTAATGATTACAAACATGGATTAAGGGTACATTTTTACTTGAAAAACACATTTTTACCATTAGTTACAAACAAAGGAGTAGATTGGGTTGTCATAATAAAATAAAAATACAGAATAAAAAAGCAATAAAATTTTTTATTATAATATATTTCTAACAATGTAAAATTTATCAAATCTGTGTTCACATTTAAGTACACGTGTTTTGACAAAATTGCACTCGAACAAACGCCTGAATAAGATTTCGGGAAAATCAAAAAATATTTTTTCCCTCAAACTTATTCCATAACCTCCGATGTTTTTTTCGATAATGAAAAGTGTTAAGTTGTTAGTTAAGTTAGTAAGGATCACTGATGTTCAGGAATAAATAGTACAAGGGTTTAGAACTCTTTAACTTTAGAAACTATACGTAATGGCATAACTTTGACCACGTAAATAAATTAGAATTAACAATATGAAATAAAACGCTCGAAAAAGTTTTTCTTTTATTTCATCTCCTATTGGTATAGACTCAAATAAGAAACAGTCAGTTTTCCCAATTGTAATACCGCAGACATTGGATCAAATCCAGGAGTTATGACTTTTTAATAGGAAAGCGGAACTTTGGAGGAAAAAATGCCCCAGGTGATCCAGGGAAATGTTTATTTTTGTTTGCTATGAAAGTCCTATTTAAGGGCTTTAACTTGTATTTAAAACAAATCTGAATTTTTTGGCCTAATTTACTAGTAGCGTTTTTTTTCCAATTTTTAACAGATCTAATCTTAATTATTAGGATCTTACGTATTATTTCATAATCTTAAGTAAAAAAATCGAATGAACTGATATATAATAACCTTTAAATAGAAGCACAACAAAGACACAAAAACATATTTTAAAAATATATTTAAATTACTTGCCCTTGGCTAGATCGCTCGGTCTCGAATCAAACATGTATATTTAATAATGAAAATATTCGAAGAAAAATGAAACAGAAAAAAAGTATATTTTTATAATTTGGGGGGGGGGGGGTTAAAAAATAAACAGGAAAATTTTTTTACCCCTTGTATTATCCCACTTGGCCCTAGGTAGTGATCTCTACAAATTGTCAAGGCATTATTTTTTTTTTTCGGTTCTTATTGACTTTTGGTCTTGTGAAAATAAAGTGACACATTTAAAAAATTAGCGGTGGTTTCAGTTAAAAAAAAATCATGTTTTCTGTGTTGGTCTAGTATGATGTCGAACAGGGAAAACTATTAAAACTACGTGTAATTTTAAACCAGTAATTAGTTTATTGTTTGAATTCCGCCCGGAGGAAGAAATTATTAATTGCCCCATTCGGCCTATTCGGAGATATTATTTGGAACAATTATAGAGAAATAAAAATCCCCAAAACGCCCTAATGGGCCCTCGTTATCCCATCCGGCTGAAATTCGATTGCAAAGATATCCCGTTGAAAATCGCCATTCCAAAGCGATTATTTATACTTGCCTTGATTTGACAAGATTATTATGCAGAGATAATGTTTGGAGAACGGCAAAAGATGAAAAATCAATGGGAGGGGAGACTAGGATCGCCGATATATAAACGGGGAGGAGTTTGCATTTGACCCACAGACAGTCCTTGTTTATTGAAAGCACAGGAGGCCTCGTTTACAGGAACATGAAGCAATTTGTGAGTCATCAGAGATACCAGTTTTACATACAGAACAATGAGATAATGTTTATTATATCATTTTTCTAATATGAACCCTTAAACATAAATTTTTCATTTAAAGTCAAATTGATATATGTCACATTAAAAGTTCATCATTCTATTTAATTTCATACTTATAATTTTTATCGTACTGTTTTTGATATTATAATTAGTGATAACCATAAAAAACATTTTGCAAATAATATGGAAAATTTCTATTTTTATGGAGAGTACCTTTAACATTTACTACCCAAAATTATTGTTGCCTAAAAGTTATCATTGAAAAATTTAAATCTGATCAAATTTTCTACTGCATAATAGTTTTCAAATTGTAATAGTTAAAAAATATGAGCTTCATACATTTTAATTCTCACGATGAAATTTAGATGAAATAGAAACAAAATTTAATAATAAAGATAATTAATTTTAATTGAATTTCACAGCCAAATTGACTGGATATTTATACGTTATATTTTTTGACAAATTCATATTTAGTGTATATTACAATTAATTAAGTTTTTTATTTGAGATAAAAAAGTCAATGGCACGAGCGGGATTCGAACCCACGATCTTCGGCTTGATACGCCGCTGCTCTAACACTTGAGCTATCGTGACCTCGATCCACTCGGACACCAACTTCCCATGTCAACCGCACCTTTTTGAATTTTCCCTCCTTTTTGCCATTTTTCAATTGTGTTAATTAATTGTAATATATTAATTGGTCAAGCGGACCACGAAATTAGTGAATTTAGTGTATAGCAGAACTAACTGCTTATTCAATCCATTTTATTTCGTGGACCAAATGACCAAGTAACTTCTTTCAATTAATTAATATTTACGTTAGGTACTGGTTGAAATGAAAAAGTTAGTGTCACGAACGGGATTCGAACCCACGACCTTCGGCTAAAAACGCCTCTGCTCTGCCACTTGAGCTATCGTGACCTTGATCCACTCGGGCTCTAACTTCCCACCTCAACCTACCTTTCGAATTTTTCTCCTTTTTGCCATTTTTCAAATGTCGTGTAATATATTCGATTCTGGGCGACAAATAAATAGCCACGTGAAGATTTACTTCGTTTTATTTATAAAATCCATTATATTTCGTGGTCCGCTTGACCAAATAACTTTTTTCAATTAATTAATCTTTATGTAAGGTATTGGTTCAAATGAAAAAGTTAGAAAAACTACTTATTACAATGGATTGTCATGATTGACTATTTCACAACCTAGTAGACATTAGCGTTTAATAAGGATTTTAAATTTTCATTTTTGATGATTATTTCACGATCTCGCGTCAAATAATTTTTCTTTCTCTATTTCTTATTTTAAATGAGTAAGGTACGGGTATGAGTTCTCGGAAGTCAAACAGATCCAAGCCAGCGAACCGCAGGGGAGTATCCTTGGTCCTATACTTTACATCATTTATACTACTGGCCTACCAATACTATTATCTCCATCGCGGACAGCGCAATCCTATCTTCTAACTCGAATTCTGTCCAACCTATCTCCAACATCTCCATTGTACGTCAACAACAAAAAGATACCAGTTTTCACTCAAGTCAAATACCTGGGTCTATAGGTTAGGACTTAGGACTTAAAACACAACAACCTAATACAAGACTTGGATTACAACGAAGAGTTCTAAGACCGAATTCGATTGATAAGTAAGACATAGCTAATATTGTACAAGACTTTACTAAGACCAATATGGACATACGGAATGGAACTGTGGGGTACTGCCGAGCCATTCAAAATCCAGCGAATCCAATCCTTCCAATCGAAAGTCCTTAGACAAAATGTCAAAGCACCTTATTACCGTCACTATCCACAAAGATCTCCGTATTCCTTTTGTCAACGAACTAATCCGATCCTTTTTTTGTTTCCCACTGGGGACGCAATGTGACGTAACATTGAGGTTCTTTAGCGTGCGCCGATTAGGGTTTATCACACGTTTTAGATTCTGAAGTTAGGAGCGACTCACCTCCGCGCACGGAAAATCTGCTGCTTCCGTGAGGTTAGGTGTAGAAGCCCACAAATCCACAGACTAATCGATAGACATGCTGACTTCCCCTGCCTGCCCATTCCGAGGGGGTGGGTTAACATTGTGCGCTTAACCAGTGCCGCGAGTAAAGTCTCGACCGAGTATGGTTGAAATGAATCGTCCTAGTCTCCCACGCACTCCCTAGATAGAAAAGACAACTCTATCTCCCTGGGTATTGGGGCTCCGCTAGCTATCAGTATATGTACTCGCTTCGGCAGGACAGGTCCAGATTCCAAACCTTCCACACCAAATTTTCGAACCATCCTAAACATGCTGCTCGAGCCCTCTCCACTCATTTCCATCCTGACAACCCGCCACATCGCCTCAACCGACGGTGGTCTCGGGACCTCCTTGACACTTAATCATACACATTGAGTGCCAGGCTGGCTCAGGTGTTCTACCGGTACAGTACTGGCATTAGTGCCAATGTTGTCCTTGTGGTACATTAAACATTTCATATTTGTGTAGTATACGATCATGTATAGGTAACAAAAAATCTAAGTTAAAAAAAATGTTTTTTAAATATTAAACCTGAAAAATAATTTTGTGTTTGTTTTAACGTTTACAGTTGTTGATATGCGCGGCTGTCGCCGTCGCCAGCGCTCACCACCTGGCTTTCCACGGACCTGCTCCTCTCAACCCCGACGGCACTGTTGCAGACACCCCCGAAGTCGCAGCAGCAAAGGTCGCTCATTACGCCGAACTCGCCAAAGCCGGTGGAGCCGTCCCTCACACCTACGCGAGTGGCTACTGGTAATAAATTTCCTCCAAAAGTCCCTACACTCGCTAAAACTTTTTTTTCTTCAGGTATGGCGGTGTTCACCTTAACGCTGACGGAACCGTCGCCGACACCCCTGCCGTTGCTGCTGCAAAAGCCACCCACTTCGCCGCTCACGCACGTGCTGGAGGTCACCTTCCTGTAGTTTACTCTCAAACCTACTCGCCTTACTATCACAGCGCCGGTGCTCCTTTGAACGCCGACGGAACGGTCGCCGACACCCCTGCCGTTGCTGCTGCCAAAGCCGCCCATTTCGCCGCACACGCACGTGCCGGTGGATACCTTCCAGTAGTTTACACTCATTCTTACGCTCCCCACTATTACACCGCCGGTGCTCCACTCAATCCCGATGGAACCGTCGCTGACACTCCCGAGGTTGCTGCTGCCAAAGCTGCTCACTTCGCTGCCCACGCTCACGCCCACGTATAAACGCTTGTCGATCTAACAAACAATACCCTTATTTGTTATTTCGAATTCATCTTTTTTTATAATTAAAAACGTCTTTCTTTACCAATTTCAAAATCTCATATCTTCAATCCTGATACCAATTTTTCTTTAAAATATGTAAATATACTATATATTTTGTAAAATATACTTAAATGAAATTGAATTGTTTTGCGATCTTCGTCAGAACAGACAATTATTTCAAAGTTTCTGAAACTCTCTTGGTTTCAAACTGAAACTCTAGTTTGAAATTTCAGTAATTGTGGTTTTATTGAGTTCCTAGTTTGACTTTAAAATTATTTTTTCTGTTAATCGTTTTTTCTTCTATGGCAAATTTAAATATAATTTTAAACATTTGCTCATAAAAACCTTAAAAAACAGATTTATTATTTATTTATTGTAATTTACATGTACAGGGTATTCACCAAAACGTTTTCCAGGAGGCTTTCTAAGTAAATAAAAATTATGAAATTACAAACAATTTTTTCAATATTTAATACGTACGCGGAATTAAAAAAGAGTATTAGATCTTTTGATAAATTGTAGAAAATTTGGGTTCGGGTACACATCATTAAGAAATTTTAAATGTTAAACTCCCTATGAATTTTACTCTTCGGAAAGCGTTTTTAGCCATAAAGCTAACATGATTTTCAATATTGGGGGAAAATTTATAGTCCTTTTATTGAAAATGCACAAAGATTTAAAATTTTAAAAACAATTTTTAAATTTTATATAAATAGAAATAAGTTAATGGGTAGTAAAGAAATTGTCTTTCCACCATAGGAATTTTTTTGTCAGACGCGTTTCGGTCAGTGAGTAAATAAAAGAGTTTCACTGTTTTTTTGCATAATAATTAGTTCAAATGTGGATGTCTGGATGACTATCAACGTGGCGAGTAGTCTGTCAGGACTCCACTTCACTGATGATGGTCTATATTACCCCTAAACGCGTCTGACCAAAATAAATGCCTATTGTGGGACAGACAATTTACATCCGATCCATCAACTTATTATGGAGATCCACAAAATCAGGATAGACACTATCAAAAAATTAATAGAAATGTTGATTCAAGTTATTAAAACAATAACAAATGAAAAACCGCACGAACCTTTCTGGTTATCTAGTAATAGCTTTGGGTATCTATGAGTCATCGTTTATTTAATTTTTCTATCTATGTGATGATTAGTGACCGTTAATCGATATTTATTTAGAAATCGTGAGATGCGGTCTGGTGTGATGTAGGTTTCAGAAAAACATTTTCTTTATCATGCCAACGTTTCGATCTTTATTGAGATCATCTTCAGGGCCTGGGATTTACAAACATTGTTTACATACTACAATTACATTTTGGATGTGGAAAAGTGAATTTATACAATGCAAAATATATTTTATATATTCAATCAAAGTTACACAGAAGATAAACACTTTGAGTGAGTAGAAATTCTTTGATTGAATATATGAAATATATTTTGCATTATATAAATTCACTTTTCCACATCCAAAATGGAATTGTAATATGTAAACAATGTTTGTAAATCCCAGGCCCTGAAGATGATCTCAATAAAGATCGAAACGTTGGCACGATGAAGAAAATGTTTTTCTGAAACCAACTTCACACCAGACCGCATCTCACGATTTCTAAATAAATATTTTCTATGTTAGTCTATTAATTTTTTAGATACTTAACATGTAATATGATAGTGCCGAAATAGGTTGAAATTTGTAATAGGCAATAAAAACTTGCCAATTCTACAATAGGTCTTTCAGGTCGCATTGAATTAAAAAGAGACTATGGTCAACAAAGATCCGTAAAGAGAAAAATGGATCTTCTTAAAGACTGGGACATCAGTGATAATTTCATTAATATAGTTTAACTACGAACTTTTTCCGTATTGTTATTGAAAAAAATAAAATTGTTAGTACTTTTTTCATTTAAAATTTTGAAGTTGTCTCCAAGAAAACCAATTTTCTGACATGGATTACAAGGTCTAGAACTACTGGTTTTTATGCTTATATTTTAGGCGATATGAAAGCTTTCCTTATTGTTAGCTATCGAGAAAATATCGTGGGTTCATGTTAACACCCTGCACATCCTTCTAAATGTTGAATAATGAAAAGTACACCATTCGTTGCCATAATTTTAAAATTTATTTGGCATTGGCAAATTTTATAATAATGATATACAACAATGCGAATTGTTTCTTTTTTGTGTTAGGAAAGACTTAGTTAGCCTGGGGGAAATTCTCTCGCTGGGCCCTTTTCACACAGTTAAAGCTGTGAAATTTGTATGTGTTAAAAACCTTATCTCGAGTTAAAGCGTAAAGTTTGTATGTTCCACACCTTTATGAAGCTGCTTGAAAAAATAAGAAGGGGAAAATAACAATTAAAAAAACGCGTCAAAAATGCACTTATTTTAAATCTATTTACATTTAACCCATTAAAATGACTGTAAATCCATATTTAACTGTGCACGTCGTACATTTGTATTTATTTATATATCAAAAATACAGTTTCAACAGGCTCATGACCCAAAAAGAAACAGTCAAGAGAAGAATATATAAAATATAAGAATATATAAAAACCATTGAAATTTAAAAATAAAGGTACACATCACAAGATTAGTAAGATAGAAAGTTAAGAATTTTGATGTTTCACATTACTAATAGTAAATAAACAACATTAAGAATAAAAATAAAATCAGCATTATAGAACTTTACAAAAGGAATCATTAAAACGGAACTTTGACCTTTTACGACTTAGAGCAAAGGTTTTCCAGCATTTAATGTTTAATAACACGAAGTGAGTCGGAGAAAATTTTGGGCGAACCTGGAGACAACGTTAGCGACGATGGCAAGGCTTGAGAAGGTGTCACATAACAGGTCCTCTGCCTCCCCACTTGGAAGATTTTACTGAAACAGAGCGACTTCTGAGGAACTGCCAGATGCAAACCACATTAAATTTCAGGCGAAGAGATGGTTCTTCGAGAATTTTTCAGATGAAGACCGAGGACGTCAAGAATAAACGGTCAGAGAGAGTGGCAAGAGTAAAAAGATTCAGAGATTTGTGGTAATTGAAAGTTTTTCTATAGTTTAATTATAAGGATTTTTCAGTATAATTACGATATATTCCTATTTCCTATATGTTTTTATTTGATTGGAGATTGAGTTAAAAACTGCCAAAAGATAAAATTATAGTACCAATAAGGAAGAAAAGTTGACAATTATTAAGCTATAAAGAATACGAATAGTTTGTTAATTTTTGATGAAAAGATATGAACGCAGATATCATGATGTTAATCATGAATTCCATAACATGGAAGAGAAGGAAGAGAAAATATATGTATATCGGTGACACAGGACGTGGCTGAAAAACAAACAAATGCGAAAAGTAAGTTATTCATACGAAGGAAACATTCTGGAAGGGGATAAAAAAGGGATGATAAGAACCAATATGAAAAGAATGCCAGCCCTATGCGAATAGAATTATTTTTGGCTTACGAAAAAGGGTGTCAGGTGTGTTACGAAAAAATAACAACATATCAATGCCGATATCGAGGGAATCCTGGAAATAAATAAAATCACAAACAGGACAAAAGAGAAAAAAGGCATAAAAGATAAATGTAATAAATGTAAATTACCAGCAAATAAATATAATTAATTTAAAAATACCAACAATATTTCATAAACCTATTCTTATACAAAAAAATAAAACTTGTCGATAACAAAAATGAACAGAAGAATAAATACAATACAAAAAAATGTATGAATTTCTGATAATTCTTGTATACATAAAACAAGTAACACGTATTGGCAGACAAGCTCTCGCGTAACATGTGCACGGTCGATAGTCTATCATCGGTGGAATTGAATCGAAAAAGAGGGATCATTCTCGATTGAAAATAGGCCTTATTAGGTTGACACATAGACACTTAATAGTTTGCCAAAGCTCGCGTCTATCTCAAGAAAATAGGAAGATCGCTCGATGTATCTTAATTAAGTGACGGGTGTGAAAGCTCCATGCAGTGAGCGAGTTGAAAGGATTTAGCATCATCAGCCACCTGCACATGTCATCTGCATTAAAAAGAGAGTTAAATTTAGTCTTACCTACCAAAAGTCCGTCACCCATACTAGGAAATCCATGAAAAACAATGTGAACAGAAGCGGGCTCAATAAGCACCCTTGCTTGACTCCTGTCACAGTGACGTGCGATACTCATCGATATGAGCAAAGTATCGAGTAATTTCTTTCAATACCGAGTACTTTTTGTATCGAATATTGTTATTCTATACAAGTACTCTATCGAGTACGTTTTGTAGTATCGGAAAATGTACTCATAGAGATTTTTCGTCGAGTGTTCAAGTAATATTGAATTATTTTCCGTTCGAAACTTACCTCCCATCAATCTGGGTGTTGGACTAGTTACTGTTAAGAGCGCCTACTAGCGGCATGAATCAACAAAGTTGATCGAGATTTTTAATTGGTGATTGCTAACTGTGCTGATAATTCTGGTAACTCATAATTCCTTCCTGCGTCGCACCTCGCTTTTTCAATTTCAGTAATTTCTTATGTTTCGGTCTTCAAATCGCTCGTCGTAGGTAGATACCTAATCATGTCTCCTCCCAAAAGTAAAGCATGAGGTTGTTTTTCTAATAAAACTGAATCGTCGGCATCTTGTAAACAAGGGGAATACAGTGGAAACACGTCTTATCCTACTTTTGCAAATATTTGAAAGCCAAACACCCGTTGATCAATTTTCTCAAAACTCGATAACGATAAAATTGAAATATCAATTACGTCGAAATGTGTTGGCAGCTTTTCTTTGTTCTTACCTACTACCCACTGTATGAAAAAATATTTACAACAGAAAAAAACCTTGTAATTTCGTGATTATTTTAACGCATGAGCGTATTTTAACATCCACAATAGTAAGTTGATCATTTATGAATAAACGAAAAAGTACTCATATGAGTAAGTAGTCTTTAATATCGAATAATTTCTGTCTATACTTAAATAGGTCGAATATTTTCTGATATCGCATGTCACCGCAGAGTCCCCCAATTACTTGGAGGAATATCGATCACACTACCACAAATTAATATATTTGTCAATTTACTTTCTCATTAATAGGTTTAATTATGTATCAAAATATTATTGAGGTTCATTGAAA